GAGCAGTATTACACTTCAATTTCGAAATTCTTTCAGCTGGAAATTTTTGTTTGAACTTACCTTCCATTTTTCATTTTTCTTCTTTTCTTGATTTCGTCTTTTAAATATATAGTATGCATTCTGTGAATCTTGAGACTTTTTTTCCTTTTCTTGCTTCCCTTCTTCTAACATTTTGATTTTCAAAGATTCGGGACTAGGTAACTGATCTCTTGATTCGATGCGCATCTAAAATTTTCAAAATTTTTGGAATACTATAGAGCAAAGAATTGATAATAAAATCATCAGCTATGTCAATTTCCATTTGTTTAAGCTTATCAACTATTTCGAAGAAATTATTCAATGTTCAGACATCGTTTCGCTTTCCCGCATTTTTCTAAATAAAAGCTGATTTAATAATGTAGCCTTCTTAGCAGGTCCTTTCGATTCATATACGGATTTGAGTTTATTCCACACAGCATTTGATGTCACACAATGCTTTATATGACACGGTTCACTAGGATTAATAGCAAGAATTATATCTGCGCAAGCTTTTTGATCAGCTTGGAGCCATTTCTTTTCGTCCTCGGTTCCTTCAGCAGGTTTTAGCTCTTTACCGGTTACATAATCCCTAGTGGTCGTTTTTAATCAATACTGCTTCTATTTATAATTTCCAACTGTCAAAATTATCTTTTCCGAGCTTTTCTATAGTAGTCAAATGCGACATAATGTAATACAGTCTCTCACAGCCAAAAACCAAGATCGAGCGCTATAAAAATAGGCTTAACTGAAAGCTGATCAGTTCTTACCGTTGATTAGACGTAACAGTTCTTGCACTGAATTAGGCTTAAGAGTTCAATGCTCGAAAACTTCAAAATGTTCATTTTAAAATAAGTATTTTGCTAATTAGGCACAGTTGAAACGTTCCTGCGCCCATAACCATTGAAGAAATAAATGAGCCTAAATAGATTGTAACATCAATTAACATTTTTAATGACAGAGATTAACTTAAACATAGTTGCATACAGCAGAAAAAAAAGGGCGAAGAAGTAAGAATGGTATACATATACATACATACGTAACAAACAGTTACGTCATCATTTATCACCGCGCAGATACACGCAAACGGCGCATGCGTCAGGAGAAGCTCTCTTAAGCTAAACGTCGTATTAATAATTTATGATACAACATACAGTAATAAATAAAATCCTGTAAAATTTAAGAACAAACTCTTTAACATAAAAGAAGTTATATTATCAATACCCGGAGCACTTTTGTTCTTAAGTCTCTTCACTGCTGACCTGACTTCATCTTCTGTAAAATCAACATCGGCCTCATTACACAAAGTCAAAAATTCCTCCTCTATTAAAATCCACAATATCTTCCACTTTCCAGACCATCGTCTTCCTCCTTTAAATCCAAAATTTCTTTAACAATTCCAACTGAAAGCTCCTAAGCATTTTCCATCTGATTGCAAATCCTTTCTACAGTAATTCTGACGAGTCTTCAATTTATTGGTTGCTACCTTAAAGAAGCTATCATAATATTTCGCAGTATTAATAAAACGATTCATTTACTTTCATACTTAACACGCTTAATCTGCTTCTTATACCGGGCCAATTCTCTTTTATTACAATATTTCCTCACAATTTTGACAGTCTCAGAAACTGTAACAACCTGAGAACTCTTCCTCAATGCTCTAACTCTTCTTTTACTTCTTTCCAAATCTTCAGTCCACCAATCAGAAAGAGGATATTTCTTAGGTTTAACTGTAAGACATTTATCAGCTTTTTCTTTTATAATGCGTTCTAACTCGTCTACCAAATCATTCAAACACTTTTCATTATCAATCAAGATCAACTTCCTGTGCAATCGAAAAACCTCATTTTTAGTCCTTCGAGAAAAGTTCCGAACTCTTCTCGAGTATCTAATTTGTATCTCCCCAAGATCATAGACTGGTTTACTATTCAGAGCTAAATATCTATGATAACTCAGACTCTCGATCTCCAAAACTTCCATTTCATAGGCATTAATATTCATTCCAGGTGACTAATACTCAAATCTGTATAACCTTCTCCGAAGAAAAGAAAGTCGGTAATGAATCAAATCTATTAAATAAAATCAAACTGTTCGATAAAATAAAATCATTGACTAAAACACCCCGATCTTCATTCAGTTTCGCTCCCCAATTAAAATATTTCGCATTAAAATCACCAAATATTAAAAAAATTAATATTTCTTTATATATTCCTCTAAAATCATAAGATAACCATGCAAATTCTCCGATGGCGAGACGTAAACACAAATTAGGCCGTAAGAACTGGTACTATGATTTATAGTAATGGCGATTAGTATATCAGACACATAGTCTACAATAAAGTCAATATCTTCATTTATAATCACGATTGCTGATCTACCCCCCCCCCATCCGCGTGCACCGATCTCCATCTCACAAGAAACCAAGCCAATTTTTCATTCGCATAATACGGTTCCTGGATCAAAATAACATCTAGAAAATAGCCAATAACTTTATTCCAGAGAGCTGGCACGCTGCTGCTGAACAATGATTTGAATTAATACTTAAAAATCTCATATTTACATGAAGACCAATGATAAATAAAATCAAATAAGTACAAAAATATAGACAATAAATATTCGTTGATTAAAACTGTTCCCGACTTATTGAAAGCAAGAACAATTCTTTCTTGTTGCTAATTAAATATTCAGACTCTTAAAAAATATCTATTAATATACAGAATATTTCTTCAATCAGAGGAAAAGCTCAAAAAAACCGTAAAATTCCTCAAATTTTAGACGATATATTAAAAAGAATTCATGTAAAAACTCCCCACTGCAGTCAATTGTACTATAAATTCTAGAAATCTAAGTCGAATTTATCTCTGATAAACTGCTTCTCTTTTATAAGAGATGGACAGTCTCTAAAAAAAGTATCATGATTAAAATCCTACTCTCTACCAAATTTTTCAAAAGCCTCTTTACAATTAATACATTCTATATTATTACTCTGACATTCTTTCTTTTCATGCTTGCCAGAACACCTAGAACAGGACTTATCATTTTTACAATACTTCCTTAAGTGACCAAAAAGTAAACAATTCATACATCTCTTCGGCTGAATAAAAGGCCTAGCTGTGTAAGCTTTCCCACCAAACTGTACTCGGTTGCAATTCAAAACTTCCTCTTGACATATAGGAGAAATTTCATAAATTCTGTGTGATACACCATATTCACTTGTTTTAATACGAAAAAAAGAACGTACACACCATCGCAAACACAATCCTCTTTTGTTCTAGAACAAGGAACATCATCAACCATATCGCTAACATTATATATAATAATTGGGTCTAATGAATTTATTACCTCGTGTTCGAACCAAATTTTTAATTGTTCATGGTCCCGAATTGCACTTTCCAGTTTAGAGACATCCGATCGATTCTTTAATTTCAAAACCATGTCCCATTCTTTCTTCTTAGACTAAAGTTCTTAACACCAATGTCACTGGTTGTATCTTGCATAATTCATCATAAACGTCAATGTCTCGGTAAGCAGGTTTAAACTAACTCATTTGCCTGTCCCTTCTTTTAATTCATCAGAAGAAACATTTTTACTTTCTCAGTCACCTTTCCCTAAATTTATTTTACATCTGTTTTTTCTTCTTTAAACTCCGATAATGTTCCTTCATTTTTTTTCACCATTTCCGTCTCCCACAATCTCAATAAATAAGGAAACATGTACTAACTTTTCGCGTACTTTTCCGTTTGGCCGGAGCAAATCTCGCCAAGCAGACTTTATTGGCGACAACATACATACACATAAATAACAATTGTTAGTTCTAAGAATTTTTCATTTTGAAAGCATAAAAATTTTGTAAAAAGACAATAAATAAAGGCAATAAATTTGTAAAAAGACATTACTTTAAGAATTTACTATGATCTCATGGTTCAACATCCTGATTCACCGGTTCGTATCACATGACCCCAAATGATCTCATCTCACGTAAACTACGCTACAAAAATCTAATTCTGTCAGTAATTATCTACATTAATTTCAAGTTAAATCTTAAATTAAATCTTATGGAATACAACTTTAAATGCAAGAATAATTTTAATCCGTACGAATAGCTTACTCAGAAATTATGTTCCTTCACTAGAGCATTCTCATTAGAATTGATGAATTTAACTTTTGACTTAACTTTTTCTATATTTTCGCCTTCGGATGAGCGGTGCGATTGCATCCTAATTGACTTAGTACCGTGATAACCCTTAGTGATAGAAATTAATTAAATGGCAGATATATTTTGAAAATATAGTAGAAAGAAATAAGCAAACCACAAATGCATGTTACATGTTTATTTACTTGGCTAACTAAACATGTAACGTGCATTTGTGATTTGCTTATTTCTTTCTACTATATTTTCAAAATATATCTGCCATTTAATTTCTATCACGTTATCAGCACGCTATAAAAGATATGCTCTAAAAAGTTTATTTAGCAGAAACGAAGAAGAAATTTTGATTTTTCCAAAAGTAAAAGAAGCAATATCCACAGCGCCGGCGAAGCTAAGCCTAACTCGTTGAAAGTAATTTCTATCATTGAGGGCATAAAATTGAACAATCTGGTAAAAATTCTATGTAATTTTATGCCAGTATTGAAAGAAATAATCAATCCGATAAGAAATTGCTGCTACTTGTTTTGAAAATCAAGCATAAAAGGTTACCAGCGAGGATATTCCGTTTGGCATCGGTTGTACCATTTGTGGCGACTTAATCACCTGCGTCGACGAAATGGAAGAGTACCCTTTTCGCTGATAAGAAAAATTTTTAATTCAACATTGCAGATTAATTTATGAATTAACAAATCAACTACCTACCATTACTGAATTGAATGGTACTTAAACGTTTTCGTAATTCATAATATAATTTCCAGTTTAGATGCACTTTGACTTCCACTGAGGCTTCAATAAACTTCTAAAATATTCACAGAAGCGGTCCATATAATTTTTATTTTTAATACAGAAACAAATACATGTGCAACATTCTAATAAATTCAGTACTTGATTTTTTTAGACGGAAATAAACAAGTTACGCAGAAAAACAATAAAAGAAAGCTGCTAATGTCTTTATAAAAACCATTTCGAATAACATGAAACTTAATAAAAAATATATATATCAAAAAGAGAAATAATTTTCTTTATCCAAGCGAAAGTTCTGAAAAATACAGACGATATCATTTACAAAAATACAAAATCACAAACAGAATAAAATAAGCAATACTTAATTAACTGACACATACAATACATATAACATTGTGAATTCACTTAATTTATGATGATTTGTAAATAAGAGTAGAAATTATTTTAAAATATAGATGAATAAAGAGATTGAAAAATATTTACTCAGCTGATAATGTTCCATACACAAAAAGCTGCGTTAATACAGCGTATTTTTTTCTCAAAATGCCTTTTAATACCTTTATCGAGAATTCAGAACCATACCCAGTAATACAAACTTTTTTAGTCTGGTGTATTTCCCTCATATTTATCTCATCCATACCTGAATGTTTCATTAGAGCATCTTCTGCTTTTCGTAATGTCTGTTCATCAATAGGAATTCTACGGAAAATTCTACTTTCGATGTACATAGGTTTCATATTTATTTTCTCTATTGTTGTTATCCTCTCAAAAGACAAATAAGAAAATTCACCCGACAAAGCAAACCTATGGTATGCTACAACAGCTGCCTTAGCGAGCTTACTGTATTTATACACTGTGAAAGGGAGTATATCAGGTATTTCATATTTATTATAAAATCGTAAGTCAGTGCAAAATCGAAGAAATTCTAAAACGAGAGCAGCTGGTGTGAAAATTTTTTTACTCACAACGGGGACAGATTTATCTTTCTGGTAAACATACTGCGCAAGTTCAGAAACATGAAGAAAAAGTCTGATTAAATTATCTGGATACAGAAATCCTGTATGACTCTCACCAGACTTTGCAATAATTTGCTCATCTTCAGCCCAGAGAACCAATACTTTGCTTGCAAGCTTCACTATTGCAGGATCACACAGAAATTTATAATCTAACCAAATATTTGACTGTAGAACACTGGGTAAAACATTTTTAGCTTCACACAGTTTTATCTGGACGTCCATATTAGCAATAAGGGGTGAGACTATTACTGGACTAAAAGACGAATTTTTAATCTTTATGTTGGCTAAAAGTTCAGAAACAATCCAGGGAAAACTAAGAAATTTAGCATCACTGTCACTGTACGTGACCATATACCAGGCAGAAGCTTTTTGTAATATACGTTTTTGAGTCAGATTGACATTCACAGAAGTTTTAAATTCTTCAAGAAATTCTTCATGCATACTTTTTGATAGTCGTTTAATGCATCCAATAACAACTTTTTCTATTTCAGCTCGATCATTTCGTTCTTGAAATCGGCAGTGAAGATTCGTGAAAGCTCCAGAAAATGCTTCAGCTTCATGCTGAATACCGTAATTCCTTAAAAATGCTCGAAGCAAGGCATTGTATTTATTTCTACTTTTCAAAGCTTCTTCCTTGTATTTTTCCCATCCTGGATACCTTAAACAAGGATCCACCTAGAAACAAAAAATAATGAAAACCTGGGTAAAAAATGCTTGATGTTATTCGAAATGTACAGAATTAAATTTCAAATAATTATAAACATATCAGTAGCTTGCAACTGAACGAAAGATATAAATCTCACTTTCTTAGCTTTTAACAGGAATATAGCCTATAACCGAGACGTTGTTATTAGTTGCTAGAGTAACAAACTGGTGCTCGTATAACTAGAGATGAATAGCGTCAATACTCGCAAATATTCAGGTTTTTGTTTTCGGGGGGGGGCAAAGTTAAGCATGATTACAATGCAGAAAACAAAAGTATAACAAATACTGTTCTCGTTAAAAAATAATGAACTACATTAGATATAAATACAGCAATTAAAATTTCATACATTTCAAGTAAGTGTAAGTAAGACCTTTGTTACTTTAGGACTTAATTTCAATAGGTAAAAATTCTAATTTAGAAACAGAGCCCCTCTAAAATGCCAGTTCTTGTTTTGACATCTACTATCCTAATCATTCGGTCCTTCCCAGCATAGGGTTTTACTATGTGCCCTACATTTTAGATGGGGCTAAATTTTCCTCATTTGTCACAACCATGCCACCAAGTATTACAAAGAACCACTTTATTCGCTGTTGTAAATTATTCAAATAATTGGTATTCTAGAATTGCCAAAAGGTTTGTGTGATTGAATGTTAATAACTGATGGTTCGGGAGTAGATGTCACTGAATGCCCTATTAGGATATGACTAAAGATCAAGATGTCTAACTATCTATATCCGCTGAAAGAGGCGTTAGAAGGGTGTGAATTTAACATAGATTTAATTTGAATCATAATAGTCAAGAATTAGTCATACGTCATTTTCGAATCACCTATAATGCGTTTGAAATAGTATTTAAAAGATTTAATTCCGACTTTTCATAAACCCAGTACAGGTTTATCCATTGGGCGCTTGGGGCGGGCGTCCAGGAGCCCGGATAAGCTGGAACCAACCAGAACTTCTGGCTATAAAACATCGATAGTTGAAGATAAAAATTCTTTAGAAAAATAGTAAATTATTTGGCAAAAATAATCGGCGCCTCTCACCAGTACGTCTAAGTCCGTATTGTCAGTCGATATCTAAAGCCGGCGCGGCGCCGGGTGGTAATGGTGGGTTGACAACTACAATGCGCCTTACATAAAGAAGCAAGCAGATGAATTAGACTACAGACAGTACCTTACCAAAAATGCAACGCGACGCAAACGTTATAAATAAATAATGGAATGTGAACTGCCGGACAAACATAACGACAACGCGTCAGGCGAACTATCGTTTTCGACTCTAAAAAGAATAAAAACATACCTAAGGTCTAATTTGAGTCAAGAAAACCTTGATGCACTGCCACTATTATATAAAGAATATAATGCACTAAGGAAACTTAATATAGTGATACTCTCATACGTCAGTTTGCCAATATTATGTCACGAAAACAAATGCTATAATTTTTGTTATATCTTAGAATGTTATTTTTATTTTTATCTTTTTCATGACATGTTTTAGAATGTTGCTTTTATTTTTAATAAAAATACTGGTTTGCGTTTTAATTTTACATATATTTTTACAATAAAAATTAAACATTTAAATTTTATTTGTTAGCAGCCAGTGCCAAATGCTATAAATCTTCTTATGTAGATCTGTGCCAAGGGCCCGAAATGAGCTTAAGCCGGCACTGCATAAACCGCCAAACGTTGGCGTCCTACGGGAAATAAACTTCCACTCAACATTTTGAGTTAGAAAACGTTTTTGCTAATTTTTCATCCTGTATAAATAATTTGGAAAATTATTCCAAATCCTTATCTACTTGAAACAGGTTACTGCCATTTTCGGAAAAAAATCTTTCCGCTGTTTATTTTTTTATTCAGAATGCACAGCAAAGAACAGTTCATGAAGCGTCCACAGAAATAGTAATGTGGCATTATACAGGAAATCTGGATTTGTTCTTTCCTTCGTCAAATCTGCCATCTTTTGGGAGCATAATTTTGGGGTTGCTCCAAGTCACTGAACACAACTGTGTATAATGTTCCTACATGCATTCCATTATTTAAGGGATGTCAGGAACCATTATACCAACAATGTTAAATTGGCCATTTTCAACGTACTTTTTTTCAAAATCTGCTGTAAATACACGCTTGAAATTTTGTGTGTAATTACAGTATACCTATTTGATTATATTGAAATGAGCTTTTGAAACATTTTGAATTTTAGAGTAATTTACAGAATATTTTGTACAGGCATAGTAAAATTTAGCACTTTTCTCACACAACAAAAAATTAAATTTTTTTCTTAGTTTATCACAAAAAGCTCATTTCAGTAAATATTAGGAAAACTAATAAAAAGGCCATAAAAGTTTTAGATACCTGTGAGCAGTAGTTCCTGAGAAAAGGTACATCGAGTATAAAAAAATCGCGTTTGTAGAAAAACGCGTTTTTATCTTCATTTATCAAAGCATTCGATGACAAATTAAAACTAGATTTTTTACAGTTCTATTTGTTATAGAGATTAAAGAATGGTATTTTAGAAATATAAAAGTGTAGAGAATTTGAAAATGTAAAACTCCGAAATCCCCATTTTTTGAATATTTTTGTGTTTCAACACCCCTTAAAGGCCAATATTCTTGCTGAATGATATAAAGGAGTGTTTGAGAACCAGTATTATGGAACCCTTCATGAAAATACTTCATAATTCAATTAGTGATGGAGTGCCTTTACATATTTAATTTCAGTGCTATGCAACCTACCTCCAATTTTTAGTAACCTTGATCATAAACCTAAGTGAATCTCATGATGAATTCTTTGTCAGACTTTACAACACAGATTTTAAGACGCCTTTTGACCTTATCATTCCTTTTTTTTTTTTCAAATTCCCTATAAACCTGAAAATATAGACATGCGTAGCATGTAACATGTCTATATATATGTTAAACACTTACCGTATATACCCGCGTATAAATCGACCCCCCCCCCACTTCGACATAAAAAATTCGTAGAAAATAAGAAACCCGCGTATAAGTCCCCCCCCCACTTCCGAATCGATCGAGACACTTTGAAAAAATTTTTTTAATACTACATTTATATTCAAAACCATCTGAGAAGAAAATAATGTACGATAAAAAATACCTTGGTAAATAAACAAAATCAAATCCTTCAACGTCCGATTCCTAGTCAGATCGCCAAACATTTCATAAACTCTTCTGTCGTCATTGGCTCGTCATCATACATATTGGGATAATGGGGGGAAAATAATCGTATATAGGAACCTTCTAGAATTTGTTCCGGAAAGATTCGCGTACGTAAAATCTTATCTGCATTTTCCCTTTTAAAAGTTAAAAGAAGTATTCAAAACGTTCAATTATTGCATGGGCTATTTTTTTTAAATTTTGACGTGTACGCCTGTAACAAAGTATTTCATGAATGAACAATAACTATTAAAGACTATACGTACGTAAAACTATCTGCATTTCTCTTTTCTTGGCGTGTTGGCGAAACTTTTTTATTGCTCGATTGATCGGTTGTTCGTGACCGAAACTTCTTTGGTTTAATCGAAACTTACTCTAGTTAAAGTATCAAACTCTGTGATTAGTTCGTCACATAACTTAAGTCATGAAATTACTTCAAGTAAGTGACTTATTTGATAAGTCGTCCAATTTGAGTGCGGGAAGAAAACAACTGCATTATATAAAGAAATTTTTGAACTTCCGATTCTTTTAATTTTTTATGGCTCCACGTATAAGTCGACCCCCCCCCACTTTGAAGTCTTTTTTTGTCCAAAATATCTCGACTTATACGCGGGTATATATGGTATATAATAAAGTTATTACGAATGTTAAGTAAAGAATCCAGGAAACTGGATTTATGCTGCAATGTTTTAGAACAATAATTAGAGTCCTGATTAAGATTAGTCTATAAAGTTACTTTTCATCTCAGGAAAGTAACCTTTTTCGACAACTCTAGTGCCCTCATTTACAACAAGTAATTCTTGCGATGTTAAGAAGGATGGCCCATACCACCACTTAGCATTCTTTTTAAGAGATTACCACTAATTCGTCTAGTTACTAGATCTGCTGGTTCGAATACCAGAATAATGATACCAGGAATTTAGATCACTCACACTTTTTATATCAGCCACACGATTCGCTAGAAATTATTTCCAGGGTTTGTCAGCATCTTTAATCTACAATCTTGGAATCGGTCCAATAAAACACCTTTGATGGTTTCTCTGAAGCTAGGATATTTTTTATCCTATAAGTTAAGCGTGTTGCCAACAAGGCCCCCAAAAGTTCTAATTTTGGCAATGTGATTTCCTTCAAAGGTGCAACTCGATTTTTGGATGCAACTAGGCTAACTTCAATGGTATTTTCCTTAAAGCTCTTTTACTGGCGTCACAGAAACTATAAATTTCGCTTTTTCATGCCTTTAGTCTCTTCCTTTGTTAATAACCATTCGTGGAATCCTCAAATTCGAGATTTGAGGAAGTTCCTTGCCATTGTGCTTGAATTTCAGAGGGTAGTTTGTCATCCCAGGGAATCTTTCTCTTCCACAGTACTTGGAAAAGACTCTTCATACGGATAATGAATGGCGTTATGATTCCTAATGGAATGAATATATATCCAACAGCTCGCAAATGGGAACGCTTAGTATTAGTGGAGAAGGATAACGTCTCATGCACACTGTTAACATCGAGATTAAAACAATATTCTTTCGGTTTCCAGGACAATACTAATGCATATATCTGAACAGGTAAGGCGCGAGTTAAACCCTTCTTCTTGATACTTAAGCACCAACTGTGGATCATCGTTCATCCACTTTCGAAGATTCAGGCTAGCCTTTTCCATAACCTCCCAAGAAACTATTTAAATTAAGATCAGGCCAAAGACAGTCATTTAAAGACTATCGTCCAACTTCATGTGAGCTAGCATTACAAACGATTCTCAATTTTGTAGTAATGTTTCTTTTTTCGCTGATTACAGCTTGATG